GACTGCCTAATTTACTGCTTCTAACTCCGAGATTTTCTATTGACGTTTCATTATCAACAGTAACTTATTGTCCCAACAAATATTTTTTCGAATCATGATATCTCTATTCCTTTTTTCGAAAGAAGCGTTCTGCGAATACCTAGGAGTACTATGCATTAATGGGTATGAGATTTGCATAAATCCTAAAGCCGCAGAGGAACGTGTATTACGAGTTTGTTTTCCCAAAGGCAAACAAATTCATCCTTCAAATAATAATTTTCATTACTTAACCTTCATCATATGGATTATCTCCCGGGCAGCCAGTTTTTTTCCACGCAGCTCGTAAACCCTCGTTAGCTAAGTATGGAAACCGTTCTAATAAAAATTTGTGGTCAGGGCAACCATTTTTGGCGTAGCATAATAATATTATTTACAAAATGTTGTGATACAGCATTGTACCTTTAGGACATGAGAAAAAATATTTTGCTGGACAGCAGCCAACCTTTTGTCCGACAAAGCTTAACCATTTAATGCATTACGTAGGAGATATGCTACATATCAAATAAACATGTCTAGAATGCGCAGGTAGGGAGCTCCTCAGGTAAATCTGTTCGTAGTAAATGTGCAACAGTCCGGTCCTTATACCTAGCAACTTTGCAGTCGCCAGCCGCCATACATTCCTCGTGACAATTAAATTGAAACCAATCAGGCTTCGTAAAATGTCAGATAGACGTTTTTGACATGTTCATTTAATTTTCTTGAACTTTACCTTCATCCAGGGTCCAGGCTCTTTCGTATATTTGCATTTTCTTTTGTGTTGAGGTATGTACGAATGTACGAATGCACGAATGTATGTACTGAGCGATGGAATTCCATAGCATCCATGCAGCATGGGATAAAAAGCTGAAAATGCTGTTAGTAACAAATGAGCTACAAAAACATTTTCGGGTCTTCTGCTTACAAATTTGATTTAAAATTTTTTCAACTTGACCCGTTTTCTAGGACGTTAGTGAAACCTACCTGATTTTTATCACCGAAAAAGAAAAAATCATGCATTAAAGGGTAAAAGGACATTTCAAGCATCCGAATGAAATCAGTGACTCCTAATAGCAAATCTTTCAGTAGGCAATGACTTCACTTATCTCAATGAATCATGTATTTCGCCTAATGACCGGGAGGTCCATAGAGTGTAATCTCTAATGGTGGCGATAATAAGTTAATTTCTGCATCATGATTATTTTGAGTTCTCTATCTATATGGACTTCTTTCTGTTCAGGCCCATATATTGCACATGGTAAACGATTTTACTTGGCTGAACTTTCACTTTTCATCTGTGGTGTCCTGTGATGAAGATGCTATGTTACCAAAAGGTACACTTCCGGACATTGTCATAGAGACTTATAGAGAAGACGTCACGAAACTCTAGAAGATTTGTGGAAATTAGGAACATTGGAACGTGGAGGGTTGTCTGATGATGTTAGGAAAAAAATTCTTCTAAAAAGGTGAGAGAATGAATAAATGGAACATGTGTGGAATTATGAAGTAAAGTCTGCATTTTTAATGGATTTTCTGTCTTTGAATATTCGTTTGCAGGTTTCGTATCTGCGAGATCATCTGCCTCCAAATAAGGGTGCTTTCGGCGCACTTACGAAAGTTCTTCGAACTGCAGGTCAAGGAGGTCTGGCGGCAAGAATGTCTGTTGGTAAGTTGTTACCTGGCAAAGAAACAATGACCAAAAACTGTCCTCCTATATCGAGATCGATAGTTGGACGAAAATGATTACATTTTGAAGAAGTACATGTGAAGGATGGTTCACGCAAAAAAAACTGAGCAGTAACATAGAGAAACGGATGAGTTAGCTTTCATTATCCCTACAATTATCATATTGTTGTATAAAATAAAATGTCACCTTTAGTCTAAAATTTCATATGCCTCCATCTCTATAGCAAAGGGTGAGCGACCAAAGTCCCTGCAAGAATTCTTCCTCAAAAAATGGGAGTTCCTATGCTACCAATTCGACCCCGAGAGACTCGCAGGTCCCTTGTTCTCGAGGGGAATTCTACTCTCCGGAGATTTGGACGAAATCGTGACGCCATTGGAGCAAAAAGAGAGGAAAATCATTCTTTTGATGAAGCTATTACAAAGAATCTCGCCAAGCAATATCCAGAATTTCTTCAGAGTTTTGAAAATGAAATGGGAATGCAAAATGTGCGAACAGCTTGAAAAAGAATGTGAGCGTCTTCGAAGTTAATAGAATGATCATTATAGTCCATATAATCTACCAGAAAATTTTCGAGTGTTCCATTCACCATGAACAGTGGAGGACTATGGATTGCTATGCGCAACAGCAGACAGAGAGAAGCAGGAAGATTTGAAACCTGAGAGAGATCACAAAACACGTGATGGAGATGTTTCAAGGGAAAAGAAATGATGAACGGTGAGTATTTCCATGAACTGAAGAAGAAACTTAGGGGCTCATTCGTAGTGGGACTCAACTTTGAATAGACCAAGTTAAGCTCATCTCCTCATTGGCCGACTGACGTCAAAGGGACTGCAGCGGGCGTGGATACCGTGGTAGCCGGTGCGGGAGCTGCTGCTTCCTTAAATACTTTTGGCTTTTCTGATGCGACCCTCCAGGGTCGTGCCGCGTATTCTTCGTCCGACGAAGAGTCACAAAAAGTAGAGAGAAGAAGAGAAGAGAGAAAAAGAGAAGAAGAGAGAAGCAGCCAGGAAGAGAGAAGAAGAAAAAGGGAAATAGAGAAGAAGAAAAGAAGAGAAGAGAGAAGAAAATAAGAGAAGAAAGAACGAGAAAAGTACAGTGAAACCTATGAATTCGGCCACCTTGATATTACGGCCACCTCCCATTTGCGGCCAGAAATACTCAGTCCCAATCGTTAGCCCCATAGTCTCAATGTTGAAATAACTTGTTTTATCCGACCACCTGTCTAACGCGGACAATGGTCGAGGATGTTCAGACCCTCTCTGCCGGCCACTCATTAAGCCGAACGGAATATAGGAAGGAAAATTGCAGGCAGATTTTCTTTCTCTTCATATCCCTGTCTTATCGTGTCCCTCCTTTCCTCCCTCTCGCTTCCCTTTCCGCTCTCCCTCCCTAATCCCCGAATTGACCCGTTGCTTGATTGTCAAGGTCACATCGGAGTTTCGATAGTGTGAAAACGATCATCATAGCGTTGACCTAGTTCTTCCGTGTATCTTACTACCTTTCTTCAAGGCCATTGAGTGCCACGGAGAACCTAAAGAGCCATTTGGCAAAGAAAGGGATGGATGAAGGAGTCGCTTGACGTGATCACGAAGCTCGAAGCGTCTCTGCAGGAGCGAGTGTGATTACGCAAAATGAGCTCGCGTCAAAGAGGTATTAAAGACCTCCTGTCAATGAAATCAGGGTCTTCAAATTTCTCTCTGTGTACATAAAAGTTTTAAAAATCCAACAAAATCAGACTACGGTATATCCACCACCTTTGGTGGTGGATACAGTATGATTAATTTTCTTGGAAAACTGACTGCCAAGTACCTCTATGTTTGCCTAGAGGAAAATTCAGAAAAAATTCCCCTTTTATACCGGCCACCTGTCAGAACAACCCGAAATTAAGAAGTCCCTCTTGCGGCCGTATTACAAACGTTTCACTGTAGAAGATGCCGCGTATATCCAGGAACAGTGGAGCCGTGTAGCCAGAAACCGAAGGTCGAGCAGGGCTAGGTCTTGGTCTTGGTCATGGACCTTTAAATGTGATATTTGGGTCGTTTCATTAGGTAGGTCCGTGTCATGCACATGGCATGAATAAAAAAGTGCAATAATATAATAATCCCCCGAAACGGTCACTGCACGATTACTTTCTGATGGGAGCGTTTTTACTTACAGAGGAGGAATGCAATTTTGAAGTTGAATAAGCAATTGTAAACATCTTAACCTTTACCTTTGCAAACTTCCACCAATCAGAAGCTGAATCAAAATCAGATCTAGAAAGGATCGCTTAATCCCAAATCAAATTAAACTTTGAGCAATATACCTCATCTTCTAACAAAGAGTTGTTAAAGTGTCAACAAGGTGAGCCTCTAAAAGAAGAGGATGGACAAGTAACTTCCAGACTAATTGGGTGATGGTCAGAGAAGGAGGTGGGCTGTATGTTTGTTTAATCCGACCTAAAAGGGAGTCATTTACGTAAAAGCGATCGAGCCTTGCTTGTGGTTGGCATTGGCTAGTGCCTGTGAAGGTGAACTCTCTTCCATCTGGGAAGAATCTCCTCCACACATCGGTTAGGTCATGCGATTGTATCAAAGTTCGGAGACGAGTTTGCAGAATTCTACTGCAAACTATCATTAATGTCTGAAACTGTTGCTTTGTTGGATGATTCAAAAGCATTCTCCAGTTTTTTCCTAAGGCTTTTCAGCTGGTTTGCTCGTTTTTTGTCTTTGGCTTTTTTGTAAAGGACATCAATCATGTGGCACAGGCCTGGGATGTCTTCAGTGTATTTCTTGGCAACTTCTTCAGGTTTTTTGGAACTTTTTGCCTCAAACAAGAAACGTAAGATTTTGTCCGTTTCAAGAGGTGTGGGAATTTCAGACACTGAGGGTGTTCTTGTTTCTGCAGGAAGTGTATTTGTGTCGGGAAAATTATCTTGAGATGGAGGAAGGTCCTTTACTTTCTTTGTTGATAATGGTTGTGAAGTGAGAGAAGATGAGCGTTTCCGGTTTGCTACAGATGTTGATGTGTATGACAGCCATTCGGCAGGTATGGGTTTGCATTCAAATGTTTGAGGACTCAATTCAACTGATTGAGTGCCTTGTTCTGTGAAAGAAGATTGAGAAGTGTCAGGGATCGTAGTGACCTGAGTTATCTCCATAAGAAATCGTTCATATTTTGCTTGCTCAACATAAATGAAATGAGGATCTCACCATACTCCATCATGAATTGGCGAGGATGGCTCCAGTATTCGAGCCAGTCAATGAAAGATTGGGGTGTCAATATCAAGAAAATGGGCCCGGCTAATTAAAGAGTCACTGCAGATTCCTTTAGCTCAAGGAGATGCTACAGAGCAAATTTTAACAGGTAGCTAGGAGTGAATATGAAGTAATATCTGAGGTGGAATAAGTCAATTCTTTCGAGAGCGGCAGACCAAGAGAAAAGGAAAGACAAGCAAAGTGAAAGACCAGTGGTTTTCGGCACCGCTCAAGTGCAACGCGAGTTCGTTTCCTCTCGATATACGTCCGCGGAAACTCAACCAGTGAGATGAAACATCTCGTCCGCCGAGGGAAGCCACCCAAAACTTCAAAGGAAACAACCAGCCAAATCACATCGAAAATCATGAGTGTTTCAGCCTTGAAGTGGAAACTCGGAGGGAGAAACAACAAGAGGGCCTTCATGAAGGTCAGGAGTCACTCGTCACACTTGTGGCGAGTCAAATCGCTTTGCCAAAGACTGCCAAGACAAGGTACGACAAGGAAACTCATAGGCGTTTCCACAGGCGTGAAGTGAGGGGGAACAAACCTTTGGTGAGTATGCCTAGTGTATCAATTTGTTGAAAACATCCCCATTGAAATACATTTAGAATCTGGATTTCAACCAACTGTTGTAAATGCAAATATAATTCCTAAATAAATTTTAAAATCTCGTTTTGGGGATGAAGTCCAAAAAAAAATTGTTTGAAATCGATGGACATCTAATTCCGAGTCAGGGACATTTCGTCTGTATTCCGGCATGACTTTCCTGGAAAATCCGTGGAGTTCCAGCAGAAGTAATGGCAGGACAAGTGGCGAGTGTTGAAGTGGCGAGTGTTAGAGTGGGGAGTGTTAGAGTCGCGAGTGTTCAGGGTTCAGCTCAGCACTTCACATTTTGATAAGGAGTGAGCCTAGATGGAGATAAGGAGACTATACCTTTTTCGGTCCGCAATGAGATTCCAGTCCAGGAATGTCTCGATTCTCTCTCCTTATCAAAGTGTTTGGTTTTCGGCATTGGGCATGGAATGAGACTCTTTCCGACCTCTACCTTCCTGTTCTTCGAGGGTCTCATCTCCGTTACGAAACTTTTCGAACCAGCGTCGAATGGTGCGATCCGTGACCGATCCTGCGCCTAACGCAGTGTTGATTTTATTCGTCGTTTCGGCAGCATTAGTTCCAAGTTTGAACTCGTAAAGAGATATCGGACGAAAGTTGCGTTTCTCCATCGTTCGCTTTGGCAGAAGGTTAGGCTAAAGATAAATAAAAAGCAACTAAGTGGCTTACATAGGGAAAGGTTTGCTGAAAAAAAAACGGTATACAACAATAACTGGTTATCACAAAATTGACAGGTATAATGATAGACAAAACATTGCCCTTCGAAAATCGGACATTTATTTCGGAACAACCTAATAGTAATGGGTTACTTACAGGAACTGGAAAATGTTGGTGCTTTATTTAGCACCGATTCTTCTGTATCTATAGCCAGAGGGCGTGTTATAGTGCCCATGGTGTCCACCCTAACCGTGAAAATGTAAGGGAACTTCGAAAATACCCTTGTCTTTGAAAGACCCAGACTTGCGCTTATTTATAGGACCAGTCACAAAAATTAGAGATGAAACGCCGATAAAAACCTGCTAGTTAACAGGTTTCTGTAAGAAATCGGTTTCTGGTGTAGGTTTCTGTGTAGGCTCTCTCCTTATCAAAAGAGATAAGCAGACTGCGCCAGCCAGATGCGATAACCTCGTGGAATGAGATTCGGTCGTAAATGAGATCGATATACACTTTTATACACTATACAGCGGTTGATATACACTTTTAATCATTGCTGAAGGGATGATTCGGTCAGCATTGACAATAGTTACTTCCGAATCACAATCTGGATAGCTGATTTGATGAATAAAATGAATGTTATGACAGTAGGCAGAAAAGGTGAGCAACTTCACAAAGCAGACATTTTTTAAATTCGTATGTCGATTAGTATTTTAACTTTAGTCACTCAGCTTAATATGCGATGTTACTACAGCTAGTACCTTATGGAAACCTTGTAAAACCTTTGCTTTTATTGTTCACATTCTGTTGTTTGTTTACCACGAAGATAATTCCAGTTCAAGGGCATTACTTCAAACATTGGGCATAAGCCTTTACCTCAGGAATGGTGCACCAGACTCGACAGTGCATCGATAAGGATTGTGGGTGTCAGAAACACATTCAAGGTTTCTGAGGATGGACAACCAGCCAAAATCGTGGAAAAGGATCATAGAGAATCGCATGAAGATAAGAGATTATTATAATGTGGATTGTGATGAGCTGCTTCGAAGCTTGACAGAGAAGGGTGTCTTCACCGTGCAAGAAGAAAGAGGGATCCGAGAATTAAAAGGCCCAAAGACGAAGTTTGACAAGCTCTTCCAAGTTCTCTTCACCAAGGATCCGCAAAGATACTTCGACGTCTTCCTCGAAGCCCTAAATCACATTGGAAGGAAGGACGTCGTGGACTTCTTTCAAGGCATGGTGAGTTACAACTGTTCCCTGTCAGTGAATATCGAATGAGAAAGTCTAAATTAAACTAAATTTTAATTCTAAATTAAATTCTAAATTAAACTCCTTCCTCTCGTGGTTTGAAGGTGCTCATGTATGTGTTTCCATGATATAGTCCGAGGTGAGAGGAGGACCATCAAGGTTATTAGGAGGTCTTCTTAGAGCGAACTGGGAGACATTGAAGACCAGCTTGGTTCATGAAAAGGTGGCAATACACAGCTATCTGTCAAGACTCCTTCCTGAAGAAGACCAGAGTTACATTTCGAAAGTACCAAAGAAGGATCAAGTAGTCATCTTTCTGGCCAAATTAGTGAACGAGATCAATGCAAGGAATTTCGATAGCTTTCTGGACCTGCTAACAATCGATGAACAGGATCATGTCGCCAGAAAACTTCGAGGGCAACGTAAGAATGCTCGAAAAACTCTGGGTGTGTGAATTCTAGTTTATACCACGTTTTCCTCATATAACCGGCAACCTTTTCTAGCCTTCCTGAACCCTAATTGCAAGCCATCCATGTGCCAGGATCTGCAGGTGAAAATGTTGATCTCGAGAGACAAACCATGACCTGAGTCAAAACTCAATCTCTTAAGAGAAATTGAATTTTTACCAAATGGATGAGAAAATTAGTGAAGAGGTAGGTATTGCAAATAGATGTGGGTGAAAATAAAGTTCGCTCACGGGAAGAAGATTGTGGACCAGCGCGAGTGATAAATATACCTGAATGTCCAGTGTAGGCCAGTGTAGTCCCTTATGTCCATGTACAGTTAAATAATATATATTATGAAGGCTCGATTTCTCACAATTTCTTTGGTTTCAATAGTGCTTCCAAATGATTTACCCAATAGCCGGGCAACAGGAGTCCATTGGACTTTCCAGGGGAGGTTTCATACCATTATTCCGGAAGTATTTTCTAAATTTTCTAAGCATTTTATGTGCCCTTCCATAGATTCATTTTCCATAGATCCAAAAACCAAATGTTTCAATTTTTACTCATGCGAAGGAAATTTAAAGGAATGAAAAGAAAAAGAAAATATATTCAAATATGTTGTCCTTTTCATTTTTCCACAAAAATACTTTGTCTAGGTCAGGGTTAAAACCTTCCACAAGCATAATGGTTTTTTTATTTTATATTTTGTGGTATGATAAAAAATTATAATAATAGCAAACCATTTTGTAATTCCGTGTTTCGTTTACAGGGGACAGAATCGATGCACGGATGTCTGACTTCACCAATGCCCTAAGCAAATTGTAAGTTTCAAGACGTTATCAGTCTAAAGTTACCCTGAAGTTCAGAAAAATGTAATGAAAAGCACTTCATTTTAAGTAAAGACGCTGATAACTTCTAACTAAGACTATTCACAAGTCCTTTTGTAGACCTCCATGTCAGAGTCATGCCTGATATAGTTGCTCATTAGTGTATGGAAACTTTGTAGGTTTCCTACTCTAGAAGGTATCGAGAATATGGCGGCGCAGTGGAGAAAGCGAGAGCAAAATTATTTGGACCTCGCACGAGTTTGGGGAATTGACTGTGAAATGCTAAAAAGGATCAAGCAAATGAGTATAGGTCCACTCCTGACGATGAGCACTCTCGTGGAGGACTGGATGAACTGGATGAATGCAGCGGAGAACCGACCTTCCAACTTCGGAGAATCTTATTTCAAATGGCGTGATCTTACAACTCAGGTTGAGACAGATACAATCGTCAATATCTTTATTGGTGATCAAGAGGATAGAAATGTGGGAAGGGGTTGGATGGCTTGCTCCTGCATTTGAAGCGTAATGAATCCATAAGAAAAGTTCCATATCCGTTGTAGTAATCCACATCTCGCATATTCTCTGTTAGATCAAGTATTTATTGATAATGGTTGCGTTGTTCTGAATAGTGGGCAAGGTGCTCTTTTCACCAATGCCTACCTCTCGATTCTTAAGTGCGATAGGAGATCAGTATATTTTAGCGACTGATAGAAGGCGAAAATGTTAAATAATTTTTCATTCGTAAATCAAATAGCTAATGAAAACAGAGTTCCATCAGCGGATCCAAGGAGTCGCTCGCTCCTAATTTGCTGAACAGCGAATAAATAAAAAAAAACAACTTGGGAAATACCATCTTAGTTGACGAATTTTATTGGAAACTGATTTTTAAGTCTGCCCTGAAATCAAGCTGAGCATTAACCAATTTACATCCAGTGACTTTGTGGTCTATCTGACCTAAAATTATGCTACCTAAGTCTGACGCGGTAGGCCTACTTACCAATGTCTCTCTGTGCCTTAGGCTTACTGGAAGAACATGAGATGACGTGTACCAGTACATCTTACGATGCAGATGGGTTAAAGGAGTCTAGCTTGTTTCGGTCTCAAATGCAACAATCATGCTATGCTTATTTTTGAAAGAGTAATGTATGCTGAACTCAAAGCAATTTTTTAAATAGAAAAATCGACTCATAAAAATATTTATGCTTGCTCAGGTTAGGTTTAGGTTTCCCAGTAATTAACCGATTTTATTTAAGTCTTTTTTTATTTTTACTACTTGAGAAACGGAAAAATATAGCTTCTAATCAAATTCGAAGGAATTGAAACCTGAGGAAATTTTAGATTATTTTACTAATCCGTATGCGAATATGAATATTTACATTCCAAATCTTCCATTAAGGAAGATAGGTTTTGATCAGATAAAGCAAAATTGTGTGCAAAATGGAAGATCATGAGGGAATATTGTCAGTTTAATATTCATGAAAAAATATCCTATGTTGTCTCTGTTGAATACTCTTCGAATTCTTTTAGTTTCTCTTCAAAATCAGAACTCCTTGAAATGTCGCACCTTTTTATTTCTTGCACTGTAATATGTATTTTGAAGAATTGCTCATATTTTCAAAACTCATCCAACTGGACTCAATCTAATTTAATCAAACCATACCCCTTGAAGCCCTTCAAATTTGAATGAAATATTATTTTTGTTCAGTGATGGACATTCTTTTATAGTAATATAAATGATTTATTGAATTAGGTTTTGAATTTTAAATTACTTTGTATGGGTGTACTCCTTCAGATCCCTCTTTTACCATGAAAAAAATCTTGGGATTCGTGAAATATCCCTGTAAAGGAGCGCAACGTTAGGCCAATCTGGAGTTTCTTGAACCATCTTAACAAGGACGTATTTAAACAGACTGGATCCGAAATTCTAATGCGTCTTTAATGCCATCATCAGCGAGAATGTCCATGTGCGGTCTTTCCATGACCTGCCTCTTTGATTGAGCATTGCACACGGCATCTCGCATCATCCAAATATCCAAATCTTAATCGCTCCTGCATGACATTCAAGTAATGTTCTAGGCACGCCCAATTGCAGGTAGAGCAGGTGAACGAACATTCTCAGAAGCCTCTCTTTTACTCCAAATGTAAGAAATTTAGTGTCCAAGAACGTTGAAATTATGCGTTCGATGAGCAGTTTTCAGGAACTTGATTTGAATTGTTCATAACTTCCCAAAAATATTTCAAAGAACATATGTTAGGATTCTGTCAAAAAGCCATTTCAACACCGAGCCACTTTTAGATTTCCTGGCTCTTGCCATAAAGAAATTGCAAATATTTTGCATGAAAAAACTTTATATTTAACGTTCAACTATGTTCCTTCGGGAACTTCATAAAGGATTTTGGTGTTCAAGCTTAACTGAGTGTCACAAAGTTGCTCATACTTGAGCATTGAAAGTCCAAAAACCTCTGAACAGTTAGAACGTTTTTGAAAACGTTCATGAGCTATTTTAGATGCTAAAAGTCCCCCCCCCCAATCCCACTGTCCCAAACAAGAAATATGAAATCACATGAGCTACCAATGAAAACTTTCAGAAATTAGTTGAAATTGACGGAAAGACATATAACTTCATGAGGAACTTTGATGACAGATAACTGCCTAATTTACTGCTTCTAACTCCGAGATCTTCTATTGACGTTTCATAATCAACAGTAACTTATTGTCCCAACAAATATTTTTTCGAATCTTGATATCTCTATTCCTTGTTTTAAAATAAGCATTCTGCAAATACCTAGGAGTACAATGCATTAATGGGTATGAGATTTGCTTAAATCCTAAAGCCGCAAAGGGACGTGTATTACGAGTTTGTTTTTCCAAAGGGCAAACAAATTCATCCTTCAAATAATAATTTTCATTACTTAACCTTTATCGTATGGATTATCTCCCATGTAAGCGCCATGTAAAAAATGTGGCTACCCAGTCAGATTTTTTCTACGTAGCTCGCAAACTCTCGCTTGCTAAGTATGGAAACCGTTGTAATAAAAAGTTGTTGTCAGAGAAGCCATTTTTGGCGTAGTATAATAATATTTTTTACAAAATGTTGCGATACAGCATTGTACCTTTAGGACATGAGAAAATATTTTCTGCTGGACAGCAGCCGTCCCTTTGTCCGCAAAGCTTAACCATTTAATGCATGACGTAGGAGATATGCTACATATCAAATAAACATGTCTAGAACGCACAGATAAATCTGGTTCCTCAGGTAAATCTGTTCGTAGCAAATGTGCAACAGTCCGGTCCTTATACCTAGCAACTATGCTGTCGCCAGGTGCCATACATTCCTCGTGACAATTAAATTGAAACCAATCTGGCTTCGTAAAATGTCAGATAGACGTTTTTGACATGTTCTTTTAATTTTCTTCAACTTTACCTTCATCCAGGGTCCAGGCTCTTCCGTAATTTGGCATTTTCTTTTGTGTTGAGGTATGTACGAATGTTGACTGACCGATTGAACTCTCCAGCATCCATGCAGCGTGGGTTAGAAAGCTGAAAATGTTGTTAGTAGCAAATGAGCTACAATAACATTTTCGGGTCTTCTGCTTACAAATTTGATCTAAAACTTTTTTTCAACTTGATCCGTGTTCTAGGACGTTAGTGAAACCTACCTGATTTTTATCACCGAAAAAGAAAAAATCATGCATTAAAGGGTAAAAGGACATTTCAAGCATCCGAATGAAATCAGTGACTACAAATAGCAAATCTTTCAGTAGGCAATGAATCATGTATTTCGCCTCATGACTGACAGGTCCATAGAGTGTAATCTCTAATGGTGGCGATAATAAGTTGATTTCTGTATCATGTTTATTTTGGGTTCTCTATCTATATGGACTTCTTTCTGTTTATGCCCATATAATGCACATGTTAAACGTTTTTACTCGGCTGAACTTTCACTTTTCATCTGTGGTGTCCTGTGATGAAGATGCCATGTTACCAGAAGGTACACTTCCGGACATTCCCATTGTCATAAAGACTTACAGAGAAGACTTCACGTGGATAAATATTGACGAAACTCTAAAAGACTTGTGGAAATTAGGAACATTGGAACGTTGGGGGTTGTCTGATGATGTTAGGAAAAAATTATTCTGAAAAAGTGAGGGAATGAATAAATGGAACCGGTGTGGAATTATGAAGTAAAGTCTGCATTTTTAATGGATTTTCTGTCGTTGAATATTCGTTTTCAGGTTTCGTATCTGGGAGATCATCTGCCTCCAAATAAGAGTTCTTTCGGCACATTTATGAATGTTCTTCGAACTGCAGGTCAAGGACGTCTTGCGGCAAGAATGTATGTTGGTAAGTTGCTACCTGGCAAAGAAACAATGATGAAAACTGTCTTTCTTGCCTCCGATATCGAGAATAGTTGGCCGAACATAATAAAATGTAGAGGTACATGTGAAGGATGGTTCACGCAAAATAAAACTGAGCAGCAACATAGAGAAACGGATGAGTTAACTTTCTTTTTCCCTAAAATTATCATTAGGTTGTATAAAATAAAATGTCACCTCTAGTCTAAACTTTCCTATGCCTCCATCTCTATAGCAAAGGGTGAGCGACCAAAGTCCCTGCAAGAATTCTTCCTCATGAAATGGGAGTACCTGTGCGACCAATTGGACCCCGAGAGTCTCGCAGGTCCCCTGTTCTCGAGGGGAATTCTACTCTCCGGAGATTTGGACGAAATCGTGACGCCATGGGAGCAAAAAGAGAGGAAAGTCATTCTTTTGATGAAGCTATTACAAAGAATCTCGCCAAGCAATATCCAGGATTTCTTCAGAGTTCTGAAAATGACAGGGAAATGCAAAATGTGCGAACACCTTGAGAAAGAATGTGAGCGTCTTCGAAGTAAACCAGAATGATCAATATATTCCATATAATCTACCAGGAAATTTTCAAAAGTGTTCAATTCACCATGAATAGTGGAGGCCAATGGATTGCTATGCGCAACAGCTGACAGAGAGAAGCAGGAAGATTCGAAACCTGAGAGATATCACAAAACACGTGATGGAGGCAGAAGAGATGTTTCAATGGAAAAAGAAACGAAGAAAGGTGAGTATTTCCATGAACTGAAGAAGAAACTTAGGGGCTCATTCGTAGTGGGACTCTAATTTGTATAGACCAAGTTAAGCTCAACTCCTCATTGGCCGATTGACTTCACAGGGACTGCAGCGGGCGTGGTCACTGTGGGAGCCGGCGCGGGGAACATGGTGCTCGACTCTTTCCTGGGAGCCGGCATGGGGCTCCACTTTGCCCTCGGTCTCGTGGGAGCCATCGTAGGAGATGCTGTTTCCTTCATTACTTTTGGCTTTTCTGATTGGATTCGGAGAAAGAAGAACGTTTGGGTGACGTCCGATGAAGAGTCAGAAAAAGTAGAGAGAAGAGAAGAGAGAAGCAGAGAGGAAGAGAGAAGAAAAAAGAGAAGAGAGAAGAAGAAAAGAAGAGAAGAGAGAAGAAAAGAAATGAAGAAAGAACGAGAAAAGTACAGTGAAACCTGTGGATTCGGCCACCTTGATATTACGGCCACCTCCCATTTGCGGCCAGAAATGCTCAGTCCCAATCGTTAGCTCCATGGTCTCAATGTTGAAATAACCTGTTTTATCCGGCCACCTGTCTAACGCGGCCAACGGTCGAGGATTTACAGACCCTCTCTGTGCCGGCCACTCTTTAATCCGGACAGAATATAGGAAGGAAGATTGCTGGTAGATTTTCTTCCTCTTCATTTCCCTGTCTTATAGTCACCCACCTATCCTCCCTCTCGCTTCCCTTTCCGCTCTCCCTCCCTAATCCCAAATTGAATTGACCCGTTGCTTGATTGTCAAGGTCACATCTTCGGAGTTTCGATAGTGTGAAAACGATCATCAGAGCGTTGACCTAGTTCTTCCGTGTATCTTACGACCTTTCTTCAAGGCCATTGAGTGCCGCGGAGAAGCTTAAGTGCCATTTGGCAAAGAAAGGGGATGGATGCAGGAGTCACTTGACGTGATCAGAAAGCTCGAAGCGTCTCTGCAGGAGCGAGTGTGCTTACGCAAAATGAGCGCGCGTCAAACAAGCATTAAAGACCTGTCAATGAACTCAGGGTCTTCAAATTTCTCTCGGTGTACATAAAAGTTTTTAAAAATCCAACAAAATCAGACTACGGTAGCTTTGGTGGATACGTGTTTAAATTTCTTAGAAAACTGACTGCCAGGTACCTCTAAGTTTGCCCAGAGGAAAAACCAGAAAAAATTCCCCTTTTATACCGGCCACCTGTCAGAATCAGCCGAAATTAAGAAGTCCCCCTTGTGGCCGTATTACAAAGGTTTCACTGTCGTAGGTGTCACGCATATCCAGGAACAGTGGAGCCGTGCAGCCTAGGAGCCGAAGGTCGAGTAGGCCTAGGTCTTGGTCTTGGTCATGGACCTCTAAATGTGATATTTGGGTCGTTTCACTAAGTAGGTCCATGTTATGTACGAATCGGATCGACCCCGCAATCAAGTTTCCATTTGGGTGCAGGCGAAACGCAGGGGGAACTTTTTCTCCAGCACCTTACAGCTGCTGGAAAATGGAAACTTCGTTCCCTCGGCGCTCGACGCCATCCCGTCATCAAATGAAATCACTTTCGCGCACGCAGCTGGACAGGCCAGGACGAACGTGACGCCACGGGACGGCTGGAAGAGTCAACAGAGCCGCTTAGAAACAGGACGAGCCTTGAGACCCGGAGTTCTGGAGCTTAGAGTCCCGAGAGGGATGCGGGCCGGCCGGATCAGCCCGACGCGACCCCAGGTCCAGCGATCGAGTTTCGGGTCGGGTAGAACCACTATTCGAATCGGGCCGATCGGATCGAGTTCGAAAAAGTCGACCCGTGCAGGCCTCCGGCGTACAGACGGACAAGACAGACGGAGAACGTCGGCTATTGTTATATAGGCTAGCTGCGCGGAAGATATCCACTTCGGGTCGGCTTAAGCTAAGCGTGCAGCACTGTCGGGGATTCACGAGTACTTTGAGCAGCCCTTTCAACGCTCTGCGCAGCAGCCGCTCTCTCCCGTTCTCGAGAATGGATCCGATAGCCACGATGGCCGTGTAGGGTTAGGGATGGAACTGAGAGTGCGATTGAATTCGGATTCGCTGGTGCAAACCTGATCGTGCAAGTAGGAGGTCCGGGTTCTATTCCCAGCCGTTCCCTGGTATTCTTTCGTCCTCTCGAGCCATCCATCTCCTCCTCCTACAGATGACGGCTCGAGAGCGAAAGACAGACATCCAGAGCAAGGCATGAAGAAGGCAAGGCCCATACGGAGGCGGACGGACAGACGCCCAAGCATCAATAGGTGCGGTAGGCCTATTACCTTTCTTCAATCCCTTCCTGACAAAATTCAACCTCATTGTATTCATTAGAGCATCTAGAGCAGGGGTTGGGAACCGTTTTGGCCATGTGAGTCATATTAAGTGCTTGTGAGCGAAACATTTTCATAGCAACAGAATTTTTCCTGAAGTTGCCAGCTAATACATGAGAAAAATGTGAAACAACCATGATTTGCAGGCAGGCTCAATGAGCCAAACTTTTGTGGGCTTGTGAGCCAAATTTGACTCATGAACCATAGGTTCCCGACCCCTGAACTAGAAGAACGAAATCGGGCATACTTCTTTCCCTCAAAACAGAATCGCGCCAGAAAATTTAAAGCTTCTATTTCCCAGGGTTGCGGAAAACACCAATTCGCGCTTTTTGAGGTCAATTTCATTGTTCCCCCCCCCCCCCCCCCCCCCCCCCCCGCGCCCCCC